TTGATGAGGGAGAGGCACAGGCAGGACCACTGACACTAGCTTCATCTTCAAGTTGTATTAAATATGAAGTCACTTCTTAGATGGCCTAAACAGCCTCTGCAGGAGACATATTCCTAGAAATGTCATACCTTGGCAAGGATTAAGGAACATTTTCCAAGGCCTGCTAATTGATCTTGATGAAAACGAGTCAGGACAGAAACTGAGTAATAGACAATAGCAGAGTTTGCCTGGTACCAGGAGATGGCCAGTAAAGTAATATAAAATGGGTAGTAAAGATGTAGGCCTCTCTGGTCTCCTGCAATGGTGTCTATCCATTGCAGGATCAGGACACAGAGGGAGCTTGTCCACTATCCTGAAGCCCAAAGCCTTCCACAGAACTGTTGGATTCATCCATCTCAAAAGGCCAGGCTGCTCCTTTCACTCCTTTATATTACCTAAACTATCCCCAACCATTCCCCAAGCCACAGAAAGGTGTTGTGAGTTGGTCTGTGGTCTAGGCTGAATACTCAGATATGCTTAAACATCAGACCAAGTCAACCAGAGTTACAGAAGAAACCCAAACCTAGAAAAGGTAAGGGAACAAGTAGGGAGGATGCTTTCAGGAAGAAGGTAGCTAAGCAGATGGCACAAGAAACAGCTGACCATACACATACACACATACACACACACACACACACACACATACACACACACACACACACAGTTGCTGTTTGTTGGGGGGTTGCTTTTTTATTATTATTTCTTTCATCTACTGCAAAGGAAAAAAAAACCCTGACAATATTTCCTGCTCTATATAACTGACAGATTGCTTCCCAGGGCTCCGTGAGAGAATGTAGCCTGGTGTGCATGAATTGGCCCTTAAATATTTCTTCAAGCTCACATCTCTGTCTAGTTAATAACCAAGTGTCTGGGGGGTACAGCTTCCCCAGGATCCTTTGAGCTGGACTATTTATCATGGCAGCAGCTGGAGATAAGCTAGACACAAAGAGGATTTGTATCTCAAGAGGGTCAGTCTCTAGACACAGTAAGTGGAGGAATTTTCTCATTAATAGGAAATCAGTGGCAGAATCTGAGTTTTATTGCATACCCCCAGTGCAAATGACAGAAAGGAGGGAGGAGGGTTTAGAAGGGGGTAAAGAGCTCCATGGTGCTTTCACTAGATGGGAGGTGAAAGACATAAATAGCTTTGGCTCTTATGAAATTTTCTAGGAGATGGCAGGGAGGGAGTCCATCTACAAGAACTATCTGGACTTTATTTGCTCCCACTGCCACAGGAGAGCTACAGTGAGGGACACTTGAGGGTGTATCCTAAATCTGAGTAGCCACAGTGAGGGACATTGGAGGGTGTATCCTAAATCTGAGTAGGCCCAGCAGAGAGTATTGCTGAGTTAATGAATTATAGGGGATCCTTAGGGCCAATGTCTGAAAGAGATTGCTGTGTTATCACCACAGTCAGGCTGTGTTTGGGACACTCAGTGTCAAGGGAATAGACAGAGCAGAAACAGTCCAAGCACAGAGAATTCTAAGACATTCCCAGGATTCACTCACCTCAAAGGAGTCCAAAGCCAGAGAGAAAACTGGTCAAGAAGAATCTCTCTGGGTTTACAATCATAGATTAGTTAATTCCACAGACTTTGAATATTAACTGTGGCTCACTAGCAGGAATACAGACATTGGGAATTAAGTGGGTTTCCAGGCTGCCTCTGGTTGTCAATTTTCTCTAACACCTGCTGTAAGCCCAAAGGAAATGACCACTGTCTTAGTTGAAATGAACTGCCAGTGTTCTGGTATTTCTGCTGCTCTAACGTATCTTGTTAGCATAACACCTGGAGGGCAGGTATGATGGCATCCTCACCCACTGTCAACAGGGTGAGAGAGGTTCCTGTCTCACTTCTCACCAATGTCACCATGGTGCCATGGACAATACTTAACTTAGCTCATGGCAGGGAGAAGCTAGGACATAGCATCTGGATAAATGCATCTTTGCCCTCCGTTTCTAGACTGGCGGCTCAGCTTACAACATAGTATTGAACACTACACACACACACACACACACACACATTTCTACAATTCAAAACTGCCTCAAATTTTTATTTTCTTTTACAATTTTGTATAAGTAACAGTATTGTATAATGATGGGAAAGGAAGGCGTGTTACAGGCACATTGTATACCTGAATTGACTATAGAAGCTGATCCCAAAGCCATCCAATAGGCAAGGAAGCCTGTAGAATGGTCACTGGAACACATACTTCAAGAAAAAGGTTGCCAGTATAAGTATTTTCAATGTCTGTTCCAATGCATAGAATATACCAGATTGTTACTCCTGCTTTCCCAGACTACTGTGCTGCATCCTACTGTAGAACAAGCAGACTTAGAGACAGCCCAGTTGTTCTTTTCACACTACCTCTGAAGAACTCTCTGTGGGAAATGGGATAAGGATGTTGGTGCCAAAGACACCTGAGACACAGAGTAGGGAGTCCCTGTATCCTGTCTGGACTGATTAAATCCATGCCCTGGCAGTCATGATGGCAAATGTGAGGGCTAGGCAGAAAAGGTTCCCTCTTTTCCCTTATAAGGAAATTAAAGGTCTAGCCAATTCTCATCTATGAGTTCTCTAGATCCTAGGATCTTACATAGGGTTGAGACAGCAGTGGGGTAGAGCATTCTCCGCCAGTATTATCCAAGCCACGTTTTCTTAGTAAGTGAATAGCAAAGCTGTCCCAGTGCAAGGGAGCCATAGGAGCAATTTCCCAGAATTCCGTAGCTCTGGGTATTTTGCTGACACTTACTGATGCTTCTGATAGCTACTCTGGTCCCTCTTGGGAAGAATGAACATACTTGAACACACACCCCAACCCTTTCTAGGTGGAAGGGGTTGTAGCCTAGAGGACGATCCACTGAGCGTCTGCATTTCCTCTTGGCTTCTTCCCAAGGAGGGTCTTTCCTGTGCACATCATGTTGATGTCCCTGAAGCAGCCACAGATCACGACACTCTCACACTGGTCCACCATTCTGGGACACAAATGATGGCATATCATAAGTCATTTTTCTCCAATGGGTCTCAATTTAGAGGTCTGTTAGCAGCACCCATCTTCCTCATGTTTCCATCTCCCTCAGTTTCTCACCTTCCAGGTTCACAAAGCAAAATGCCAATGTTCTCCACCCAACCAGCCAGCCTCCAGGAACCCCTACTCCCTGTCAGTCAGGAAAAGAAAAACACATGGCCAGCAAATGCAACCGAATCATTTTATTATGCAATTTCCTTCTACCAGAACATCTCTAAAAATATAAATATGAACTCTCTAAAAAATACTCAGAATAGATCTGAAATCTTCCTTTTCCAAACTGGGGCCAAACGTATTCTTTAAAATCTGATGGATTACAAACGTGTGACTTCCTGTCACCCAGGCATGACATTCACAGATTCCTTTCTTTCTGCACAGGAGGCCATCATCTTCCTGTTAGATTCTGGAAGCTCACTTTGAAACCTATCAGAATAAAGCTACTGGCTAAATGTCTAGAGTGAGGTTGAGGAGAAACACAGCGATAGGACTCCAAGGGCCCAACTTCCTTAAGTTGGCCCTCCCTGAAGACAATGAAGAGAAATAAAGGCTCTTCATTTCTTATTTCTCTATCCTTACATGGACTGAGATGCCTGAAGACCAAGCTGACAGAGAAACTAGACTCAGCAGGATGGTTTCATAGGGTACTGGCTGACATGCTGCAATCAGAGTATAGAGGTGTACAAGAAAGCAAGTGGAGCTTCTGATGGAAGAGGGGGTCTGAGTTGAGGTCATCAGCAGGATTAGTAGCTTGCTTGGCCCTGGGCAGTACTTCATCCCTGGCCCTAAGCAGTATCTGCAGCATCTAGGACAGGATTCAGTGCTAGATGGTCTCCCAAGGTGACAGTATTATACCCACAGCAGGGGGATGACTGGGACATAGGCAGCTAGAAGTTGGTACAGGATTCCATGGTACCTTATTTAGTTTCACAGCCATGAGTCTGAAGTCCACCTGGCAGCAGTCCTATGCCAACCAGGTGAAATCCCTTGGCTAATCTTGCCTCTGAAGGCCAGAACTCCAGTAGCAGCCTGGGTGCTTTAAGCAATCCTGTTACCGTCTGTGCTGTGGCTACTTTACCATCTGGTCTTTGGGGACCAGTAGCCTCAGACTGCAGGTACCTGCTGACTTTCTGATATTGTCAAAGAAGTAAATGGACTGTGTCCAGTGGAGAGCTCCAATGATGCTGGGCATGTTCTTTGATGGTGCTTAGAGTGGGCTTAGCTGAGTGTTGGGGGTAATTTCCCACATCATTAGGAAATTTCACAAGACATCAAATGCTCCTCTACAAATACAGGGTCAGATAGCAATTATCCTCAGGATTTTCCTAGAGGAAGGCAGGACCCACACATGGGGTTATCGCCTTGCTTACTACACCAGGCCTGCCTGCACAAATCCTTATCTGAGGAAAAGAGATAGGCCTTAGTATGAGGCACCTGGCCAAGCCTTGCTTTTGAGGCAATGGAAGACAGAGTCACAGAGAAGGGGGTGAGAGGACAGAGACAAGGCTGAACTACTGATGAAGCAAGAATGCAAAAAAGGCATCCACATCTGAGGGAATCCTCAGTTCTGGAAGAGTTAGCATAGATGGTTTATGTCACAGAGGTGGTGGGTAAGGGAGCAAGGGCTCAGGAATGAGGAACTGAGAGTGAGTCCTGGAAGTCCCAGAGCTTATGGGAAGCCAAATAATGAGCAGAAAAGGGAAAGTTGCAGGCATCACAGCAAGAAGACAACAGCTATTGATCCCTTGTTTAAGAAAAGGGATATTGGACTAGGAATTTGGCTCAGTGGTAGAGTGCTTGCCTAGCATGCATGAGGCCCTGGGTTTCATTCCTCAGTACCACATAAACAGGAAAAGCCAGAAGTGGTGCTGTGGCTCAAGTGGTAGAGCACTAGCCTCGAGCACAGAGAGGCTCAAGGATAGTGCCCAGGGCCTGAATTCAAGCTTCAGGTCTGGCAAAAGGAAAAGGGAAAGGGATATTGTCTTCTTGCAGCAAAAGACCCTCTTGGTTGGGACCACCATAGGGTCTCCTGGCCACAGGAAGACAGGACAATAGACCTCCTAGTAGGAGCACAAAAGCAGGTTAACTAAGGAGGGCAGGAACCAGTTAAGGGAGGGTGAACCTTGTCAGTTCCTTAAACAGATTCTGAGGGCAGAAGCAGAGAAGTAGCATGTATTTCCACAAGGAGAGGGAAGGCAGAGGTCCCTCCAGGGAGGCCCAGCACTGCAGGAAACTCAGGCAACTTCTAACATAAGCACAAAGCACCTTCCACTTAATGAAAAGTGCTTTGTCTCCACAATTTTCATCTCATTCCAGTCTCTCATGTGTTCTGGCTGTGGGACAGTCCTGAGGAGGTTTTCTCATCTCGAAGGACACACTGCACTGTCCTGACTACTCCCTTTTCCATGACCTCCACTCCTGACTCTTATAGAACCACACAAACTTTCCTGTGTTCTCCTCTCAGAACAATATCAAAGCAACATCAAAACATACTCTGCTGCTTCTACTGGGGCTGCCTAGCTATGTACGTACACACACACACACACACACACACACACACACACACACACACACACACACACACACAGTCTGATGGGCCCTTCTATGCTGAAACTGCAGGATAATTTGTTACATCATCTTCCCAAGTGCCTCTTCCATCAGGGGACCTATAACTGTATGAGGAAAGCCTTGAGAATCCTGGGTCACAGTATTCACACCTTGGTGAAGCCATTAAGGCCTCAGGTTTGGTAAGTACCTCTTCTGGCCTTACCCCATGACAGAGGAAAGACAGCAACCAGGATCCTGTATCCTCTTGGGACCAGGAGGAGTAAGGCTGGGTTATGATCAAGGCTTTCCAGGCCAGGCCCCATCATCAAGCCAAGCCCATCATTCCTTGCCCAGACTGTACCCCCTAATGCCGAAGGCAAGGAATCCAGACGTAGGAGAAAAGAGTAGGTAGCATAGAGGAGATAGGCACAGAGAGTTCCTAGGCGAGCCATCATCCCAGGCTGGTGGGCCTTCATTCATTTCCAAGAGCCAAAAGCTGCAGTCAATACCAAAGAGCTCCCAGAGGTGGCATTCCTGTCCTTTTTGCCATTCTTCAGACAGACTTTTTAACTAGGACTACCCATGTACTTCTGGCTCTGAAACATCTTGAACAGAAAGTGGGTTCTCAGCTGATATCTTGTACAAGGAAGACAAAGGGTACACGGAGCTGGGGCAAGGGCCCATGTGTGCAATGGAGGGGAATGAAAAGGGAAGAGGATGTTCAACAGGAAAGACAAAACGCTCTACTCAAAGGACAGAAGGTCTGGGTGAGAGCCCTCATTGTCAAGGCTGGAGGTTCGTGACTGAGGAGGGGGACTGTAGTCTTCCCAGGACTCTGCCAGGCTCATGGGGCTCAAACTGAGTTTGAGGCCATTCCTCCCAATGAGGCCAGGGGAGGAGGCTCTTCTGTGCTCAGCTACCTTGATTTTGGATTCATCCTGGTTGTCCTTGTTTATCAGGTCAGGGACTGACCTGGATACCTCACCATTAGTCAGATCATTGCCCCTATCACCCAGTTTCATGGTAGTCTCTGGTTGTGAAGTGTCTTCCACTGGGACAGGCTGGGCAGTGGCAGAGGAGTCCTGGGACTGCCCAGGTGGCAGGTCTGTCCCATACTCTAGACTGCTCAGGACAGGCTGTGATGAAATCAGCATGTCCTGGGTGGTCTTCAGGGCACGCGGGGTCCGCTTCCTGGTTATGGGAGGTGGTGGATCCAGCCGAGGGAATGTTTCTTGGACTGACCTGTAAAAAGGATGGAAATAAACATACATGCTTTACAGACGTAAGACACAAGTCCACATTACATTCTTTCTTCTCTTACTCCAACTGGATCTTTGACCCCTCTACTCAATGAGCACTTCACCCCTTGGGCTCTGGTTCTCGGCTTAGGAAGTACATTTTAGCAATTGCCCTTTGGGATCACCAGGGAGCTGTGTCAGCTCAGAACCTATGCAGTGAGTCCCACAGAGAGCATCCCCACTGAGGACCATGTGTTCAGACCAAGGCTTCGAAAGGACCTGCAGCAAGGAGATAAAAAAAAAATTACAGCCTTCTTCCTCCCTTCCCAGTGAATATGTAGTATGAGATAGTGGTTCTCAGGAAAATCTATCTGGGGAGCTTCAAGGCAACACTTGGGTTCGAAGCCAGCTCTTACTTTACCTCTCTGAACTTGAGTAACCTGGACTGTGTGAGTATGAGATAAAAGGATACATTGATTATATGGCTCAGAGCTAAGGCTGTAACAGCTGTTACACAGGCATTCCTTTGGTTATGTATTGTTATGGAGGTTGTTGGTGACTTCCATGAACATGATCCATCCTTTCATTTTTCTCCACTTCACAATTTCATAGCTACTCCTCAGGGAAGTTCACCTCTGGACACATAGGAGTTTGTTCATGTATCTACCTCTTCAAGTGGGATATTGAGTGGGTGTGAAACTCACTTTTCATCCTCCAGCCAGGTCCCTGATGCTACATCAGCTACACCAGCCAGCTGGGCCTCTGCTGTCTTGTTGATCTCCATCACACCCACACTGCCAATGCTTGAAGGTTCTTTTCTTCGCAAGAGGTCATTGACTTTGGCCCCCATGGCTTTTCCCAGGTTCTTCAGGTGCTGGCTGCTGCCAACCCTGAGTCCTGGCTCTCCAGGCTCTGCAGAACTCAAGGTGGCAGAGCTGGGGGCCAGAGGCCTAGACAAGTGGGGGAAGGAATGGCTGGACTGCAGCTTTGGAGTGAGAGCTGTGTTCAAATTCTCAAACATGCTGTGGTCCACTATGCACAAAGGGAAAAAGAGAAAAGCATTTCAGTAGAAGGAAATAGGTCTTTGAGCCACAACACTTCAATTTTTCTCTCTTTACACTTATTCTCAAGTTGGGAAACATTCAAGAGAGTGCCAGCAATGGTACTCTTGAACTTCCTAGGGAAGTTTTCCTGGTGGGACATGGGACTAGAAATTCCAGTTCTGCCCTACCCAAGTTAATCAGTGACATACTCAAGTCATAAAAAGGTGAACTTATTCCTTTAAGTCAATCTCCCTGACTGACTCCCTTTACTATGGGATCAGCAGGATCATGGAAGTAGGGATAAAATGAGGATGAAACAATGAAATATGACCTTTCCCACTGCTGTATGCACATGCTAAGCCCCAACTGAGGTTCTGGAGCAGGAACTTGTGCAGAGATAGCAAGCCACAAAAGTAGCACATTTCCCCATGAAAATGAGCCAGCAGTTCCTGGTTTGGTACTTTGGAGAGCAGGCTAGCTTACATGCAGAGAGGCAAGCTGCTGGATCATAACCAGATTGTGCAACAGACAGGTGTTTGCTGTCAGTGAAGCAGGAGATCCTGACAAACTCTAGCTCACTTAGTCCTTAATGAAAGGGGTCATGGAAGATTGCTATTTCTAGATGAGGAATGGACTGTGAGTCCTGAGGCCACACTAATAATTACTGGTAGGCTAGAACTAGAACTTGGGTCATCTGAGATCAGGGTTTTTTCTATTGCTTAGATCATAGGAAAGCTATGCAAATGTATCTAGAACATGGTCCTTCTCTCTGAGATCTCTCTTTGGCTTGAATAATTAACCCAAAGACTGGGTATAGAACTATTAGGTTGTTTGTAAGGAAGAAGCTATGCCGTGTTCATCTTTGTTGTTTTAGAATCTAGCCTGGCTCTGGTGTACAGCAGGTACTCAGTTAGTATCTTGAGTTTCATTATCCAAATCCATTTTCCAGATAGACAATTGCGGAGAACAAGATGGTAGGCCCAAGGTTTGCTGTTGAAAGGGATGGAACTCCAGGCTCTTTGCCATGTTCACATACTGGGCACCCTCTTCCTACCCCAAAACTCAGTTCAGTCATCAAGGTAGTCAGATCTACTTTGGGCCTTGAGACTGGCCTAGGATATCCATTTCAACTGATCCATTTATTCTTTCAGTCTAGGAAAAGAACATGTTACATTTTGGTTCCCTCTCTTTGTTGAAACCTTTTGCCAAATGTGTATTCTTGCTGAGCCTCTCCTAAGAAAACTGAGGTTAGGGTATCCTCCTGCTTTTGTTGGATCTCAACATAAAGTAGTTCTGCCTTGCATCCTTGTGGTTAGCAGAGGCGTCCTGCATGGGCCAACCGCCAAAATAAGCCATTTCCAGGTGGCAGGGAGAAAGCCATAGGAAGAGGAATAGAGCTTTCACTGTGGCTTAGCCCCAAGATCTTGTTCTCTGTAACTGCTCTAGATCCATATGTAGGAGATGGAACCAGCAGAGTAGAGATTATGCCAGGAAACTTAGAAGACAGCATCCCTGAGACACAGGGCCAAGCTGGCTGAGCTGTAATGTATACCCACCATCCTAATAGGAGTTTCCAGTCCACCCCACAGCAAGCAGGACTACCAACTTCTGATTATTCTTCTAAGAGTATATCTTGCCATGCCATCCACTCTGGCACAATCTGTCTATTACATCTCATATATTTCTCATTTTCCTTACGCAAGTATTCTTTGCAAACAGGCAAAAATTATTTGGATATGAAAAAATTGCACTGTTGTCCCCAATTCTAAAGTTTCTGGATCACTAAGGAAAAGTAAATCCTAGGTTTGACGTTTCTATGGAGGTTTCCTTACGTTTTCAGAGCACATACATTCATTTTTAAAAGTGCAAGCACCAAAACCTCCTATTATTTTCAAAATACACTATAACAAATAACTTTTGGATGATATGGCATTTACCTGTATTCCTTGCTTTCTACTCTCCATAATGTAGTCTATAAAATGCACTGAGTTCTTAAGTAATGTAAAGGTAACCTCTCATGCTCTTTATCTACAGCAGCAAATCTACTTTGTCTCTGTAAGAAAATACTAAGCTTCTTAAGAGGTCACAGAAACCAGAGTGCCTTTTATTTTCTATGATGCCTAGCTTAGGGATCTTGAAAAATAGCAGGCATTTAATTGGTTGGTTTAATTTATTTTTTATATGAATTGTTAAACATTATTTGCATGATGAGCTAAGATATAGGGAAACTGTTCCCAAATCTATTTATATTTATAGAAACAATTCAGAATCTCTCTATGGGAGTGACTGTGGGGGTTGCTGAGGCCATATGAGAAACTCCTTTCTTCAGTGGACATCTAGACAGGACCTCCTCCATCTTCGTATCTGAGAGACAAGAAATGAGTTCCTTTCCTGTTGATGGTTTTAGTAACCCCTACACACTTTTCTCCTCCCTCAGGACAAGAGGTTTGGTGATTCCAAAAATAATGGTGATGGAAGAGAGTGAGATGACTAGATCCCAGCTGGGTGACTGTTCCAATAGCATTCCCCAACATGCACACACTCAAGCAAAGGGGGGCATCTGGGGACATAGTCATCCACAAGAAAGAGGGTATCTTACCTGTCCGAGAAAAGGGCTCGGAAAGCAGGTGGGAAACAAACAAGAGAAAGGCACATTTTATGTAGTGAACAACCATTTTGGAAGAGTCATTCTGTTTGGGCCACCATAATACACAAGATAGGATTATCATGCAAGACAGAGGCCCTACTACTAAAAGTGACCAGGTTCCAATAAACTCTTCAGAAATCAACCCAAAAATAAGGTTGTGACTTAAAAACTCTACAACAGACACTAATTCAGCCTCTTAAATCCTGACCCCTCAATTCTGTGTGTGTGTGTGTGTGTGTAGTATGTGTGTGTGTGCAGTACTGGGGCTTGAACTTAGGGCCCAAGTCACTGTCCTTTAGCTTTTATGCTCAAGACTGGTGCTCTTCCATTTGAACTACACCTCCACTTTTGGCTTTTTGTGGTTAACTGGAAATGAGTCTCACAGATTTTCTTGGCTGGGCTGATTTCAAACTACTATCCTTAGATCTCCACCTACTGAGTAGCTCGGATGACAGATGTGGGCCAGTGGCGCCGAACCTCCCTCAATATTATGAATATCTTTTGCATTGTTACTAGTTTGTGGGAGGGGGGATGGAATGTGATGGACTAAGGCAGAAAAAAAATTCTCCAAGTTCCATATGCATTTCACAAGTATATAACTTTCTCCAGGTAAAGCACTGGATTATAGCCCCTAAGACATTCATCCACTTCAACTCAGAGTCCAAATTAATACTTTAGGGAAACCAAGTAGCAGAGAATGTGTATATTATACAGGTAAACTGACAGAGGAGAGAATCAGAAATCACTAATCTTGACTCCCAGTTTCTCTACACCACAATTACACAAATGACTCTGCCAATACCTTCAGCAGTGCTATTCTAGCACATTCTAATGTTTTAAAGCAGGATATGAGAGAGGAAAGTCATGCTTTCCTGTTGTTCTTCAAATGTTTAGGTGGTGGGAATAAATACAGGTGAGAAGACAAGTCTGGCTGTTCTGGGCAGAAGCTGACACACAGCACCCAGACATTCTCCACATCACTTTCATAGGAGGGGAGGAGTAGGCTGTGTCTTTCCTTTCTAGCACAAATGTATCACCATTTAAATGTAAGGCTTGGCTTTGAATCTGTCATGATGATGTGGTTTGGGCAACTTCATGTTCTCTTCCAAGCTTCACAATCATTTTTCCCCATTTACTTGATATCCGACCAGTGCACTGGATTACCATATGGAAAGATGAAGCAGTTAGATGAAGCCCTGTTCAGTCCTGTTCTCCCCCAGCAAACTGACTTCAAATCAGTAAAATGGGGTGAGCCACCCATCTGCTGAAAAGAGCTAGTAGAAGTGGAAACAAAATCTGGTTCCTGTTCTCAAGAAATATATGTTCAAAATATATGTGAAAATCATATTTGTAACTTACCTTCAAATAGTTCAGATAGGAATTAAGTATACCTACTCACATATGGAAGAGGGGTATGATACAGAGTATATCAGCATATGAGAGTTCTTTGTATTCATTTTATTTCTGCAACTTTTTTTTTGTGGATTGTGCTTGGACTCTGGCCCTGTTCCTCAGCTCTTCAGATCAAGGCTAGCACTCTACCACTTGAACTACAGCAGCATTTCTGGCCTTTTCTGTTTATGTGGTGCTGAGGAATCGAATCAGGGCCTCATGCATGTAAGGCAAGCACTCTACCACTAAGCTACATTTCTAGCCCTTCAGAAATGTTTTTTTGCTAACCCCAGGGCTTGAACACAGGTCCTGGGTTCTGTCCCTGAGCCTCTTTGTGCTCAAAGCTAGCACTCTTATCACCTGCAGTGGCTTTTTCTAGGTAGTTTATTGGAGATAAGAAAATCACAGACTTTTCTGCCTGGGCTGGCTTTGAACCACAATCCTCAGATCTCTGCCTCCTGAGTAGCTAGAATTAAAGGAGCAAGCCACTGGTGCCTGGCTGTTTACTGTAAATTTTATAAATTTGAAATGATCTCCAAAATATAAAAAGTGTGCCCCAGACCAAACACAAAAGCAAACAAAACAGAACACAGTAATAGTAACTAAAATAAAACCACAAATAGAATTCTATGCCTCTATCAGAAAGAATGACATTGCCCCATTTGTTAGGAAATGGAAAGACTTGGAAAAAATTATATTAAGTGAAGTAAGCCAGGCCCAAAGAAACATAGGTCCCATGTTTTCCATTATTTGCAATAACTAGTATATGTCTGAGTCAAGCAGAAAAGGTCAGCTAAGTTGATGTTAGGGAAATGAACCCTAAGATATGTATTCAAATGTTTTTTTCTTTCATGTGATTGTTTCTAACACATTTATAAGATTATTTCTTTGTTGCTTTGTATGTCCCTCTCCCATGGTATAACCCCTGCTTTCACTGTATTTGATGTCAGTATAATTTGTGGAGGGGAAAGGAAAAAAAATCATAGGGATACAGGTGGACCCATTGCAACAATGAGATGTACAAGTCGTTACGTCGAAAACGAACTTTACAACTTTGGTGTTTGTGGAGGGGGAGGAGGATTGGGTCGGGGGGTGGGGGGAGGATGGGAAGAGGAAACAAAGGAGGAGGCTACAATGCTTGATAAGAAATGTACTCATTATCTTGCTCATGTAATTGTAACCCCTCTGTACAGTATTTTCACAATAAAAAAATATTTGGTGGCAGTGCTTAGGCAAATAGAGAAAAGCAAAAGAATCACTCAGACAGGATGGAGGCTCCCAGAAACAGGGTGGTGGTGGTGGTGGTAGTAGTAGTAGTAGACAACCAAGATGTTGGTGATGTCAAAAGTGATAATAATAAAGAACAAAAGATGCAGACAGCATCACCACTGTCACCTCTACTAAATTCTTCCTTCTCTCCAGGTATTCTCAGGCAGGACAGGTCACTGAGAAATGACAAGTCAAAACATCTTAAACAATTAAAACAAGAAAAGGAAAAAAATGTATACAAAAGACCACATCTACCTTTCTAGCTGGTGAATAGAATCATATGACCTTGTGATGTCAACTACACTTAGAATGTTTATTGTCCAGACAACCTGGCCAGCCTCTTGGGAGCAAGTAGGTGATTTCCATACTCTGCTGTGGTCAGAATATGGAGAACTTTTCACTCCTCAGCATCTCTGGACCTCGAATCTCTTCCTCTGTCTTAAACACATTTCCTGATATTGTGTCTCCTCATGCCACCAGCTTGCCAGGTAAACTCTGGTGTTACAAAGGAAGATGTGGGTTTTGTTTCTGAAATGTTTACTCATATTCTCTACCAGATCATGTTCAGTCTGTGAGTGAGACAGACAAACATTTAGAAAAAATAATTTTTCAAAATATTGCATTCTTGGTAAATTATTCTTGCAGTTCTATAACTTATGGCAAGGCAAAAATAGGAGAAACATTGTGGTCAAATTTATTTCTCCAAGAGTTTAGTGAAATTTCATAGTGGTAGCCTGTTGACATAAAGAGTTTTTCTTGGCCAAGTGCTGGTGGATCACTCCTATAATCCTAGCTAATCAGAAACCTGAGATCTGAGGATCAGCCAGATTTGAAGCCAGCCCAGGCAAGGAAGTCTTTGAGACTCTTAGCACCAATCAGCCACCAAAAATCTGGAAGTGAAACTGTGGCTCAAGTGATAGAGCTCTAGTCTTGAACAAGAAAGTTTAGGGAGAGTGCATAGACCCTGAGTTCAAGCCTCAGGACCAGCAAAAAGAAAGAAGGGGAAGGAGGGAAGGAAGGCAGGAAGGCAGGGAGGAAGGGAGGGAGGGGAGAAAAAGAAAGAAAGGAAGACAGACAGACAGAAAGAAAGAAAGAAAGAAAGAAAGAAAGAAAGAAAGAAAGAAAGAAAGAAAGAAAGAAAGAAAGAAAGAAA